TATTGGAATATTTTTATTATCTATATGATTGTATAAATTTTGTTTAAATGTAAATTTTTTTTTTCGTTCATATTAAATGTTTCAATACATTTGACTGAAGTATTTATGTTCAAAYTTAAAAAGATTATAAAAAAAAAACGTGACCGTATAATATGTTTAATACTTTCAAACTATACTGATATTTCAATTGACGAGGAACCTTCCGTTAACTTGTTAATCAGCATCATTGTYTCAAGTTAATTGACCAAGTGTAGGTTATTTTATTGGTTTTTATTGGAAAAACTGAAAAAAAAATGAAAATTTTTGTAAATAACCAAAATGAGTCAAAAATCAAAATATTTACAAAATACAATCGAATCGTCATTCGAGTCGCGTCATGCAGACCGAACAAATCATGCAAATCGGCGTATATGCTTTGCCATCGCCACTGAAGAACGAATAACTGCTAGAACAATATTTTTCCTGCAATTTCGTAGTTGCAGCTAAAACAACGGGCAATCGAATATATATATTCCGTTTGTTATCAAATTCATTATCGTTTTATTTCTTTTGTTTAAGCATTAACTATACTAAATTTATTATTAATCACTAGTATATTATCATCTATTATATTCAAATGTTTAAGCTAGTTTCTATATTAGGTATTCAATCGTGATTTAACCGTGATGGTGCTATAGTTAAGTCGAATCGATCTTTGAGATGTTCTCCACGTGCTCCCAAATACCAACTACTGAATTTTGATATGCAGATACCCTGATACAGTAATTTTTTTTTTWAAAGTAATTTTTAGTATTCACATAGGTAATATTATTAATATATTAATATTTATATATATATATATATATAGATTATAGACACATAAACTTATCATAACCTTATCAGCACGATCGTGCGCACTTCGGTCGACGGAATCGTTTGTTATCGTTTGATTTTTGTATTCGTATTTCGTTCACTGATAGCCGTCGGCAGTTCGGCACTTCGGCTCGGTTCGGCAGTCGCCACTCGCCAGTCAACGCTTAACTCTCAATACTCGACGTTACAACAGTTCAACACTCAACAGTCGACACTTCAAGTCTTCAACAAGTTCAACAGTAACTCACAACATTCGACGTCCAACACGACGGTGCCTGCAGTAAACAATAATCGTGTCGTCGCAACAATAAATTCTAGAAATCGTTGGTGGCGGCGATTGACAAGAAATGAAAAAAATGTAAGCAGAACAAAAAAAATTGTCCTGAAAAAAAACTTGTCGACGGACGCATTTTTGATTCCGTTCCACAAACTCAATTGTGACGGGATTTCGTTGTTGCTCAGTCAGCGCATTTGTATGTGATATAGTAAAGGAACGACAAAAAAAAACTATAACTACATAGGTACCCGTAACCTGTAGATTTGTTGTTGCTCGATTTTCTTCAGACATGTCTTGCACTGAACATGGTTTGAGGTGCGCACTATAGCCCTCGATTACACTACACACAGTACTAACCAATAGTGTAAAATTGTTCTACTATCTCCATTAACAGCAAAGATACAATGTTAACGCTATTCAACAACGCCTATAACTACACTGCTTCAATTACAGGTGTGTGTTTCAGAATTGATGAGCATGTTTCCTGATTCTGTAATACTTATTTGATTTATATTTGAATGTTACAGTCAGCTATATTGGGGTGGATGTTGATTTGTGGCTTTGGATGACATGGCTGCTTTGGCCACTCATTGTTACATTCCTGTTGCCCCTCACTATCGTTCTGTTGTTCTACATAACTGGTGTTATACTCTACGTCTATAAACTTCACAGGTACATGGATCTTGAAATTATATTAATGAGTTAATATAATATATTCAATTGATAGTTTATGAAAATTTAAATATATTTATTTAAAATTTAAAATTTAATACATGGTCATTAATAGACAACCTTTGTATTAAAATAATAAAATAAGCATTAGAATTTAATTTGAAGTAAATTATAAATATCTGTAGCAATGCCTAAACAGTTATAATAATAATATCAATTCACAACAT